ATGTAATATACTTTAATTTGAAAAAAAAAAATTTGACCTCTGGACTTGTCTTCATGGTGAAAATGACTACCGTATGCAAAAATATGCTATTTTTGTGAAAAAATTCTTGATATTATATTTTACATTTTTTAACATTATGTTGCTATAACTTTTTAAAAAATGCATGAATCAACTTTATTCTTTAATGATAAATACTTTATATATACTTCTTTCATGAACATTTTTATGCAGAGATCAAAGAGAAGCCTAAGTTAATGGAGCGATTCGACACGTCATCATTACCAAAAAATCATTTTTGCTTTTCGGCCTCTCGCAAAAAAATTCCGGGTCTCTGGTCAGACGAGTGTGGTGCGAAGGCCATACTGGAGTTTGTCAGTCTAAGAACAAAAGCGTACGCTTTTAATGTCGATGGGACCGAAAAAATCAAAGCCAAGGGATTTAGAAGACATGTTACAAAAAATCATTTGATTGTGGAAAATTTGAAACATTGTCTGTTTGCCGAGGATGATGAAAATGTATATGGTGTAAGCGAAATCGCTGAAGCTAAAGAGGCGGCTATCGTGTGTGGTGCTGAAGTGATCAAAAACATTCATGAAAGGGCAGATAACCCTGAATTGTCGTTAATTAAATATGATACGTACACGCCTTATAGGGAAAATGTTTCCATAAGGTCGTATAAACATGATGTTTTTCAATGAAATCAATAAAAATGACATTGAACCGTTTGGACGATAAACGTGTAATTTTACCGAATCGAATAAATACTCGCGCTCATGGTCATTGCCGACTGAGGTATTCATTTTGTTTGTTCATTGTGAATGTTATAATCTATTATTAATGTATATTTTTATTCTAGCAAACCGAAGATTGAGAAGTATTAACCCTGGAACGCTAGCGTACGTCAGACTGACGAATCGTGCGCGCACCGCTCGCTTCCCCTTCTGTCCCTTCCCACCACCACCTATGTACCTTTTTTACGTGATTTGAATAAAGACTATTTTAAAAATGATCATAGCTCGTTTGAGCTATGAAAACCCAACCGGCAAGAAAAAATTTTATCAGAAGAAGAGTTAACGTTATTGGTAAAAATGACCTTTGGGAGGCCGATCTCATAGAAGTTATTCCATTCGCGAAATTAAATATGGATTATAAATACATACTCTGCGTGATAGATTGTTTCACCAAATACGCGTGGGCAATACCTCTGAAAACAAAATCCGGAAAAAACGTTTCTTAGCTATAGCTTAACTATTTACCCTTCGCCAACCCCGCCTAATCCATACAGACCGGTGTCGAGAGTTTTACAATTCGCATTTCCAGGCGCTTGTAAAAAAATATAATATCAATCATTATTCAACTTTTAGCACGATCAAAGCTTCCATTATGGAACGTTTTAACAGAACTTTAAAAACAAACATGTATCGGGAATTTAGCGGTAAAGTTGAATCATACAAAAATATTCAAATCAAAACCCAAATTCAAAATTGTGCAAAAAATGAGAATATCTATTCATAAATCTCTATTTATTAAAGGATATATGGCCAATTGGGGTACTGAAATATTTACAGTTTCTAAAGTTTTATATTACTTACATGTTAAAAGATTACACATGCGTTTCTATAAAAGGTTGTTTTTATGAATATGAATTGCACGAAACAAATTACCCAAACGATTTTCTCATTGAAAAAATTATTAAAAGGAAATAATCGAAAGTATTGGTGAAATGGTTGGGTTATGACAGTTCACATAACTCGTGGGTGTCCATAAACGATATTAGAAACGATAGTATGTGATATTATATAATAAGCACACACCATGAATGTGTTTGGCACTTCTTCGAAGAGCAGACAAAATAGCCAACTTGAAATACTTGAAAATATCTGTGTGACTATATCAAGAGACTTTTTACAAACACAAACAAGTATAATCAATATTAAAGATAAAATAAAACTATTAGGAGATGACATAAATCTCACAAAATTGCTGATTGACGGTTTAGATAATATGAGTGTTAAAAATTTTAATTTAATAATTCTTTTAGTTGTACTTTTAAATTTCTATTAACAATATTAATAATTTTAATAATATTTAATTTTATTTATTTAATTTTTTCTTTATTT